AGAAAATTTGGAAATGATTAAAATTATTTTTTAAAAAGTTAAAAAATTAAGCTTATTTATATAAATATTCCTATATACCAGAAAAAACTTAAATAGTACATTATTTTAGCAAATCGGTTTAATCTGAAAGTTCAGTTTGTTGAAACGATAATACCATCATACCTTAGGAACGATAAAACTATCATTCCTTAGGTATGATAATACCATCATCTCTAAGGAATGATAAATGCATCGTTCCTTAGGAATGATAAAACTATCGTCTCTAAGAAACGATAATACTATCATTCTTTAGGTATGATAAAATCGTCGTACCTAAGGAATGATAAAACCATCGTTCCTTAAGTACGATAATACCATCGTTGATAAAACAATCGTCTCTAAGAAATGATAAAATTGTCGTATTTAAGGAACGATAATATTATATCATCGTTCCTTAGGTATGATAAAACAATTGTTCCTTAGGAACGATAAATGCATCATACCTAAGGAATGATAAAACCATCATTCCTTAGGTACAATAATACCATCATCGATAAAACAATCATCCCTAAAGAATGATAAAATCATCGTTCTTTAGATACAATAATACCATTGTCCCTAAGAAACGATAAAACAATCGTCTCTAAGAAACGATAAAATAATCGTTCTTAAAGAATAATAAAATCATCATTCCTTAGGTATGATAAAACCATCATACCTTAGGTACGATAATACCATCATCCCTAAGGAACGATAAAACCATCATTTCTAAAGAACGATAAAACTATCGTCTCTAAGGAACGATAATACCATTGTACCTTAGGAACGATAAATTATCGTCCCTAAGGAACGATAAAACCATCATTCCTTAGGTATGATAATACTTTGTCCCTAAGGAATGATAAAACCATTGTTCCTTAAATACGATAATACCATCGTTTCTTAGGTATGATAATACTCTATAATTCCAATCAGACATCAATTGGTTATAAATAAGATAGGTCAAATTTTGATATATACCAATTGGCTATAAGTATGCTAATCAGCTATAAATAAGATAGGTCGAATTTTGGCTGATTCTTGGCCGATTTCTGATGTATGCCAATCGGCTAGGCTGATTTTTATAATTTGTCAAATTTAGGCCAAATTTAGGCTGATTTTAGGCTGATTTTCGCATGTCTGATTTTTTTGATTTTGACCAGTGACTGTAAATGTCAACCAACTATTAATAAAGAAATCTAAAAAAAAAATTAAATAAATAAAAAAAAATTTAAATTAAATTAAATCAACTTACTACAACAGCTAATATCATAAGTAATAAAATAATCTAAAAAAAAAAGTTATAAAAATAAAACAAAATTAAATTAATTAAATTAAATAATAAATAAATAAAAGTTAAAGTGAAGCTTACTGCAGCCGCCAATACTAATAAAAAAATCTAATTTAAATAAAATTAAATTAAATAAATTAAAATTAAAATTAAAAAAAATATTATTATACTAACTTACCGCAACTTCTGTAACTGTAAGTAAATAATTTAATTAAATTAACTACAAAAAAAAAAATTTTAAATAATAAATTTAAATAAAAAATAAACAAAAAAATTTTAAATTAATAAATTAAAACCTGATCCCTTATTGCAAAATCGCCCAAATAAATTCTATAAAAAACAATTAATATTAAAGAAAAATAAATAAATAAATAAAAAAGAAAAATTAATACACTTACCACTTTAGTTATTATCGTAAAGACTAAAGCTCCGCATAAGCCGAGCCACTTGCAAGCCAAACGAGCTAGCTCGTTTAGGCTTAGCTCGAGCCACTATAAAATAAGCCACGAGCCAGATAAGCCAGCTTGTGCTGTGGCTTGGCTCGTGCTGCAGTACGGCTCGTTGGCTTGTATTTTTTTCTTTGAAGAAAATAAATCCAAAGGCGGTTTTTCTTTGAAGAAAGCTGCTCCGATGGCATTTACTTAAAGAAAAACGGCCCTAGTGACGTTTTTCTTTGAAGAAAAATGCATCCAGAGCATTTTCTTTAAAAGAATTCGCTTATGAAGCGTTTTCTTTAGAAGAATTCGCTTCTGAAGCATTTTCTTTAGAAGAATTCGCTTCTAAAGTGTTTTCTTTAGAAGAATTTGCTTCTGGAGCGAATTCCTTAATGGAAAACGCTTTGAAAGCGAAATCCTTTATGAAAAATGCTCCAGAAGTAGATCTTTCAAGGAAATCGCTCCGGAAACGAAATCCTTCAAGGAAATTGCTCTGGAAGTGAATTCTTTTAAAGAAAATACTCCAGAAGCGAATTCCTTAATGGAAAATGCTTCGGAAACATTCCTCTCAAAGGAAATCGTTCTGGGAATGCATCTCTTAATGAGAAACGTTTCTCTCGATGGTTTTTTGTTTCTAAATATAAATGCAAGCCGAACGAGCCGGCTTGGCTTGGCTTGGCTTGGCTTGGCTTGTCAATTGATCTCCACGATCTGAGCTGAGCCGAGCTAAAAAAAAGTGGCTCAGCTTGAGCCGGTGGCAATCCAAGCCAAGCTGGCTTATGTGGAGCTTTAGTTAAGACCACAAATCCTAAAATAATAGAATTTAAATTAAACAAATAAACAAAAAAAAAAAAATAAAATAATAAATAAACAATAAATTAACTTATCACCAACCGTTAGTAATTTATTAATCTACAAAAAAAAAATATTAGTTAAATAAATTTTAAATAATAATTAAATTATA